GTCTTCCTCATCTGCAGTTCACACTGTTGTCTGTGGCTGAGCAGAAGATGTCAGCTGCTGTTGGCGTGCCTGAGAGTTTCGTGGCAAGAAAAGCTGCAGGACAGACAGTAAAGAAGGTAAGAAAGTTCAGACCACAGATTTAATGCTCGAGATGTTTAGGTTTTATTTCATCGTTTTTGAGACATGACCTGTGAAATGTACTCGAACCTGACTGTAAAGAGAGAATCACAAACACGAACACGCATCCATGAAATCAAAGATGAAGACCAGAAGCTGCGCAGGTGAACGCAGAGTGATGGAGGAAGCATCTGGATATGTGATGTGTGGCCGCAGGTTTGGAGGTCTGTTAGAAGCTCAGATTAAAACGCGCTGAACGCTTCCACACAGATTAAAGCTTCAGTACAGGATAAAAACATCCAGCTTCACTGTGAAATCTCACAGAGTGCTGCTGTTTCTCCTAATCCAGTTTTTAAAAAAAAACGAAACAAAAAAAAAAAACTGGATGACTTTACCAAATCTGGATCAGCAATACTTTACCTGGGCGGCAGGCACCAAATTCACCAACATAAAAGAGCCTTAACTATTTTAATTTTACTAAGAGCTATTTCATCAGCACTAATTCATTATTTTATCCACAACCTTTAAAATTCTTTTATACAAATGCTGCATGAAATAAACAACTGGGGTGGCTGTAGCTCAGGTGGCAGAGCAGGTCAGCCACTAATCAGAAGGTTGGTAGTTCGATCCCAGGCTGCATGCCCTCCTGGCTGCATGCCAAATATCCTTGGGCAAGATACTAACCCCATGTTTGCCTACTGGTGGTCAGAGGGCCCGGCGGCAGCCTCACCTCTGTGCGCCCCAGGGCAGCACAGCTTGCCGTCACCAGTGTGTGAATGTGTGTGTGAATGGGTGGATGATTGGTTATGTAAAGCGCTTTGGAGTCTTTAGGGACTAAGTAAAGTGCTATACAAATGCAGGCCATTTACCATAAACAACTGCACGACCACAAAAACCAAAAGTAAGAGATGCTGCTCTTACGCAAGCAAAGCAGGTTGGAAACAGGAAGCAACTTTGTGCACTGTCGTCATGCTTTTACTCCCCTGAAGTAAAAGCATGTAAAACATGACCAGCAGAGGGCAGCAAACATCAAGAGCATTGATTAAACTGTTCTATACTGTGATGGTATTCTTCATTCATAACACACAGCTCAGTTTAATGTAGATCTCATAGCTTTAAATTTAATGAAATAAAAACGCAAAACGCCTGAATATTTATACATGTATATCACATGTATAAATACAGTGCTCCATAAATAATCATCACTGTATGAAAATATATTATTATGTTAATATAGTATTTAATACACAGTGTAATGCAGTTTGTAGCACCATCTATCAGTTCTAGTTTTCTTGTTTGATTAACTCTGGAGTTTTTATTTCATGTTTCCAGCCTGAATCCAGCCCTCTGCTGGAATCACAGTAATCCTGATCCTGATCCTGTTCCAATAAGCAACAAGAGTTTTTGATCTGAATTTGTTTTTTGTTTTTTAAAAAAGCTGTATTGGCTCCTCTCATTTAATCTGATCATGCAATCCTGTTTTCCCTTTCAACTGCTGGATTTCAGGGTCTGATCTGATCTGATCTGACGGCTTAATCTTGCCAGATTAGTTTTGAACTGCCGAGCTCTGGTGTGATGTGTAGGGGTGGGTTTAAAAAAATCGATTTTCCGATTCAAATTGATTTTAACTTGACTAAAGACGTAACCACAAAGCACTGACAAGCCGTTGGTGCTGAAAGCAGACATCTCACAGATTCTGAAGCTGGAGGTTTTGTCACTCTGACCAAAATTCACTGAACCAGCAGCAAAAGAAGATCCAAAGTACACTTCACATTGTTATGAATTCTCTCTTATTTTTGCTGTTTTGCTTCCACCACGATAAAATCACACTCCCCCCCCCCCCTCCCCCTGTATTTCAAGCGCAGTTTACCATCAAAAATCTGTTTTCTGCATTATTTATTACATTACTACATTATTATTACATTATTATTGCTTATTACGTACCAGTCTACTGTCATTTACAGCGCTGTCAGCCTCTGTTTTTTTGTTTGTTTTTTTCCAAAAATGATAACATCCAACAAGAAAGCCTAATTTCTGCTGTTCAATACCAAAGAAATGTAAAATTTTACAAATGATGCCAAATTGCAAAACGCTTCTATGTCTCTAATTAAACCTCTATGACTTTGCTCTACATCACTTCAGTAGCGTCGGGTAATGTTCATATGTTGATTCATGGTTTTCTTCCGTTTTTGTTCTACTGCAGAATATTTTTAAGGCAGTTATTGCTATAAAAAGACAGGCCGGGAAAATCTCCATCATGTTTTTCTGTGTTTTATCCTCAGTTACTTTGACACAAAGGCATCTCACGAGTGTCAGTACTGACAAATGATCAGAATTATAATATTTCTGACTGTCTGAGTCAAAATTGAATCGAATCGATTATAGAAATTGGTGATGATACCCAACCCTTGTGATGTGAGAGACTCAGGCCGTTCCCTTACTCCAGCTCCACCCTCCAGAGGTGGATGTTTGCACCTTAAAAATAGGAAATGTTAATGTTGTTTGCATGGCACAAATCGAAAGGTTAAAGGTCGTGACTTTTTTCCACAAGCTCCTTTAAATGGTGAGGAAGTAAAAATGAGAAGCAGAGACAGACGTGAAGCACGAGCCAGCAACTGTGAATAATAATGACACAGGAAAGACACGTCGGAGGGGGAAGTAGAAACAGAGTCACTTCCTGTTGAGGGTCACAGACGCGCCTTTCTCAAAGGAGGCAAGTGGCGACCTGACGCCATCGTTTCTGCTGCAGGTTGTTGTGACGTCAGTTTAATCGTTTCACTGAAACTTACTAACATCGAAAATCATGACTAGAGTTCAGCCTGGTCCGCCTGCTCCATGAACGCTGGATATGACAAGTGTGATCTTTGAATTTGACCTGACAAGTGGTGCAGGTGATGAAGGCAGATTATGATGACGTCATAATCTTTTTGCTCTCTGAACTTTGTGATTGAGCCCCCCCACTCCCCCTCCCCGCTCAGCAGCGTGCTCTGTTTGTTTCAGGGCGTGAACTTGGCGGCGGTGAGGAGGATGTACCTCGCCCTTGTTCTCTTCTCGTTGCTGAAGGAAACGGACGTCTGGAGCGTCTCCGAGCGTTTCCAGCTGAGCCGTGGCTTCGTGCAGACGCTGCTTGGCTCCGCCTCTGCCTTCTGCTCCTGTGTGCTGCACTTTGCTGAGGTACCACTGGAGTTTACCCAGAGGTCATACCAAAATGGGCAGGCTGAAGGTGAGCCAGCAGGTGTGTCTCAGGTGAGATGGTGATGCTCTGAGGTTTCTGTGTCTCAGGAGCTCGAGGAGTTCTGGCCGTTCAGAGCGCTGCTCGCCGAGCTGACGCGGCGCCTCAGTTACTGCGTGAAGGCGGAGCTTATCCCTCTGATGGAGGTGGCCGGAGTCCTGGAGGTGAGACACCTCCTTCACCTGCTTTCTTCTTCTTCTTTTTCTTTTTCTCCTCCTGCATCCTTTTCTTACTGTGTGCTCGTGTGACATCATTGAAACACGTTAAGAGTGATGAGTTTCCGCACCGTCACAGTTC